ATATCCTACTTGTACCTAGAGCCCTATAACTTGCAAAAAAGCACGTAAACACTGGGTATTTTTAAACTCAGGACAAAATTTTGAATCTATTTTTTCATAAGCTTTTGTAGATGAGTAAAAGATTTTTCAAGTAAAAGTAAAAAAACATGTATTTTTAAAAAAATTTTCATCATATTTTTATTTATTTTTTAAATTAAATTAAATGAGATTGTATAACTAATGGTATGTAAAGAAAGCCCCTTTTGTCCTGAAAAAAACAATATATAATTTGTATGGGAACAGTAAATGAGAGAGCGGAAAATTACAGCTAAACACAAACACCACAAAAGTGTAAAAATATGCCTGCTCGCAAATGTACAACATCGCAAAAACAGTCCGGTTCTTAAGGGGTTAAAGTTACTATAGGCACTGTCCCTTTAAAATGCATTTTTTTTTTTTTTTTTAAGAAACTGCAATAATTGCCTTGCAGGACTAAGACTGTTTCTGGTGGCTGTCAATCACACAGCCACTAGATGTACTGCATGAGGACATGCAGAGCCAGTCAAATGCTTTCATATGGGGAGGGCCTAATGAGCTTGCTCGTTCGCTGCCCATGCGCATTAGCGCCCCCACGGCAGGTGGCTTTGAAAATAGCAGAGTACCGACCAAGCACCAAGGGACATTGGGGCTGGAATCAGGTAAGGACAATAAGGGTTTATTACCCCTTATACTGTGTGGGGGTGGGGTTGCAAGTGAGTTATAGTGCGTGAAATACAATGTAGTATTCCTAGCACCATAGTATCCCTTTCAAGGTTCAGTTGTTTGTATAGCCATTGGGAATGTGTTGCTTCCATCATTGATGTGTCTGGGTGAAGGTGAGCGCTTATAGCTGCTACAGTTTTGGAAATCTCTGCAGGTATAAGCCACTTATTGAGGGGATGCAAGAACAGACTGCCAGTCAGATTCCCCTGCATTCCACACCAGGCTAACATGCATCTTTTTGGGAGACACCTCTATAGGCCAATCTGCCAAAACCCCACCCCTTTTAATTTCATACCTGGCAATGTTGGAAGGAATGTATTCATACAACTGCAAAAAAAATCTCATGTACATCTCTTATTTTAGATTCCTTTTTGGAATTAGTCGTTAGACCATACTTTGGATAGCATAGCTTGGACTACCACAGTTTCTCTTATTCAGTGTTTTTATGACTTTCTATTTTCTTATATTTACTGTAGTTCAGATGCATTTCCAAACTCCCTATTCTTGTGTAGCGGCTTTTGTTACTTCTGAATATTGAATTATTTCAGCATGAGCTGAGACAAGAACTTGCTAGCCAGATTCAAATAAATGCAGTGTGTTCTATTTTACTGGTAAACAAAAAAAAAAAAAAAGGGTTAGGCCAGTCAACAAACTGACAAAGTTGACTTATATATATTATATATTTGTAAAGTATGCAGTGTACATACTATGAATGCATGGACATTTGTGAGGGAGTTTACATTCACCATTACGAAAGGCTTTTTCCATGAGCACTGTCTAATCCTCCAATGTAATAGTTGTAAAACCATAATTATTTCCCTTCATGTTTGTTTATGTCATCTCAATATTGTTATTAGGGGGTTGCAAGTGCCAAACAATGAAGCACCTTTGTCAAAAACATAAAGTGACAACATTCCCACAAATCCAGGGCTTTGTTCCCTGGTTTTGCCTCACTGCTCTCTCAGCACTAATTAGTACAACATTCCCAGAGGCAGTTCTTGTGTCAGCCTTAAAGCGTAATTTCAAAAAAAGTCAGACCTTGCCAAATGGAAATTATTAATGCCATGGCCCTCACTAGCAAACAGCCCAAGCTTTTGATAGGACAATCTATTATATTAGTTTTTGTTTGCCGTTTGGACAGACTGCAAAATAAATCAAGTAAGAAGCACCCTCACATGCAGCAAAATGTGAAAAGAAAAGTGAAAAATTGTATGTAAAAATTTCATTTCAAAACCTATTTATCTGTAACTTTTTATAAGCGGAGGGTTTTTTTTTGTTTTGTTTTTTTATTATGCAGTTCAGCAGTTATACAGTTCTCATTATTGCATATAAGCTCTAGGGCTACAACTAATATTTTTATTCATAATATTTGTATTCATAATTAATTAATCAACCAATTATGTTTTGATAAATCAGATTTAAAAAAAATCATATCCAATAACCTTTTTTTTTGTAAATATAAAATAATATCCATCCAAGGAGGGTGGCCATGATAACCTCCTGGATAATGGCAAGGAAATGCTTTAGAAAACAGTATGATGCATGGGAGCACATGGCTGCATTGGGGTGAGCTCAACATATTAATTTGAGTAATAAATCCTCCGCTATTACAGAACCTCTTTTGGTTTTTCCTGTTAGCAGAAAGCACAGGATGTTCAGAAGCTGGACTCCACTGGCTAATATCTTTCTACCCCTTTCTTTGAAACGTTTTATTATTAAAATTTAAATTTTAAGGGGAATAATGACTTCCCAGGATTTTTAATATTATGTTTACTTATCAAAAAATTAAATGTAGAGATCTACACTTCTTTATCTTGCAACTGAGTGCCTCTGTCGCAGCTCCGTCAGTCATTCTTATAAGTTCTGTTCTTTTCACCTGGCAGTCGGCAAAGAAAGAAGGATAAATTTGGCAATTGTTTTATTTCTGTTCATTTGCAATGTTTGCCCTGGCTTTGCCTTGCTTGTACTGGGTTATGATGCAATTTGACAAATCTTTAAAGGACCACTCTAGGCACCCAGACCACTTCAGCTTAATGAAGTGGTCTGGGTGCCAGGTCCAGCTAGGGTTAACCCGTTTTTTCATAAACATAGTAGTTTCAGAGAAACTGCTATGTTTATGAATGGGTTAAGCCTTCCCCCAATTCCTCTAGTGGCTGTCTCATTGACAGCCACTAGAGGCGCTTGCATGCTTCTCACTGTGATTTTCACAGTGAGAGCACGCAAGCGTCCATAGGAAAGAATTATGAATGCTTTCCTATGTGACCGGCTGAATGCGCGCGCAGCTCTTGCCGCGCGTGCGCATTCAGCCCAGGAGGAGGAGGATCGGAGGAGGAGAGCTCCCCGTCCAGCGCTGGAAAAAGGTAAATTTAACCCCTTTTCCCCTTTCCAGAGCCAGGCGGGAGGGGGTCCCTGAGGGTGGGGCACCCTCAGGGCACTATAGTGCCAGGAAAACGAGTATGTTTTCCTGGCACTATAGTGGTCCTTTAATATGAATTTAAAATAAAATGTCATCTCATGAAAAAAGATTTTAATTTTTTTTTTTATTCAATGGTTTAAATTGCAGAGATTTGGCAGTTCCCTTTTTAATTCTAATTAAAACCTGGTTCCTATTTTTTACCACCTAGCCGTGTTATCTCAGACAGCTTTATGTTGCACATGCTGTTGGGGTAAATGATGAATCGTGCCTGCCAGTGTGTAGAATCTATATATACTGAGAAAATAATATTGGTTAACATTATAGTCACCATGACAGCTTAATTAAGTAGTTGGGTGTATACATCTTGCCTCTGAAGTTACACTGTTTAATTATCTGCCATTTAGGAGTTAAATCACTTTTGTTTATGTTTATGCATCCCTCGTCACACCTTACCTGGCTGTGACTCACAAAACCTGCATGAAAAAAAGGGTTTCAGTTTCATTCTGATGTAGCTTTAAATATTTTTATCTCCTGCTGTGTAAATTGAAGTTGTATTACATACAGGAGTCTGCTGCAGCAGCATCTAGCAAGCTATTAACAGAGCAGGAGTTGAGAAACTAGAAATAAAACAGAACTTGCAAGGAATGAAGTGGAAATATTAGATTACTACAGGACATGTTTAGGAAGGCGGTGCAAGTCCCATGCAGGGAGGTGTGACTAGTGCTGCATAAACAAGGTGATTTAACTCCTAAATGGTAGAGAATTGAGCAGTGATACTGCAGGGGCATGATCTATAAACCAAACCTAACATTGTTTTGGTGACTACAGTGTCTAGGGTTGCCACCTAGCCGGTATTTTACCGGCACCACCGGTATTTGGGTCCACCTGGCCGGTGCCGTTATTGCAATAATACCAACAATACAAATGCAGGTATTTTTCTCAGTATCAACTGAGATAAGATGCAATACCGGCGCTGGCCACTGTGTGTGTGTGTGTGTGTGTGTGTGTGTGTGTGGGGAGCAAGACAGGGATAGGAAGTTACAGCTACTCTCTGGTCTCTAGGGAAGCAGCTCTGCCCAGAGACTCCAGCCAGCAGCTCAGGTAAGTGAGGGGTAGAGGGAGACAAATGGAAGGGCAGTCTGTAACAGGTAACACAGAGGCACACAGAGACATAGGGACAGTGGGAGACACAGGGACACTGGAGCACACAGACATGGGGAGACACAGAGACATGTGGACACTGGGCACACAGAGGCATGGGGATACTGGGACACTAGGGGTCACGGGGACACTAAAGGAGAGATAAGGACACTTAGACACTGGGAAACATGAAAACACTGCGCTGTGAGACAGGGAAACAGTGGGAGCAATCACTCTATACAACATAATCAAACTGTAAGTAGTTTTTGGGTGATTTTAATGAATTTTCTCTTATGTCACTCCTTGTGATTTACATCCTGTAATGTAATGCATGCATAATTATGCAAATTAGCACGGCCAGTATTTTTCACCAAGAAAGGTGGCAACCCTAATAGTGTCCTTTTAATAAACTATTGCTGGGATTCTATAGGTAAGACCACAATTTAGATTATAAAACTGGGCAGCACTATACATGTACCTACCTCCTGACAACATATCAAATTTTAGGTGTGTGATAAAACTATACAAAAGCCCTAATCTGTCTTTGTTAATCTGATTTCTCTTTCTTCGTTTGTCTATCAGTCCCAAGACCTTTTCACAATGCCTGAGTTTCTCATATGCATGGTATTCTGGTTCCACCTACTCATTGTTCTAAATATTATTTATACGTTTTTCATGACAAATGTTCTCTTTTCACCTCCAGGACTTGCACAAAATTGTATATCGACCCCATGCCAGAATGGAGGCACATGCCAGGATACTCAAGATGGATTTGCCTGTAACTGTCCCACACAAACTCTTGCTTTCACTGGACCACAGTGTGCCATGCTTCATGATGCATGTGCAGTCTATGGGTGTCCAAACAACCACACATGTCATAGTACTCCTGGGTATTCACAGTACCAGTGCTCTTGCAATGCTGGATTTAATTGCACAAATAGAGCATGTGACACTGACCCATGTTCATTACCAAACTCTGAGTGTACAGCCCTTGCCCATGTATTTATTTGCAAGTGCCAAGCTGGATACAGTGGGCCAAACTGTGAACAAGTGATGCCTCCATGCACACAGAATCCATGCAAGAATAATGGTACCTGCATGCCACAAACTGGGAGCTACACATGTCTGTGTAAACCTGGCTACACAGGACAACACTGCGAGGTCAATGTAAATGAATGTGCATCAAACCCATGTCGAAATGAGGCAATCTGTGTGGACAAGGTGAATAAGTACCTCTGCTTCTGTGTGCCTGGATTCCAAGGATACCACTGTGAAATAGATATTAATGAATGTGCATCCAAACCCTGCCAAAACAATGGCACCTGCATTAACTCGGTGGACCAGTATGAGTGTGACTGTGCCACAGGATATACAGGTAAGAACTGCGGACCGTGGGTGGTGCACATTTTTTAAAATAGCTAGAATGGCCTGTAAAGGTAAATTACCAGCAATCTTTATTTTAAGTAGTAATGTCTGATAATGTGCAAGTGCCACATGGCTTGGGGTTTGGGTAAGGTTTGTGCTGGACTGAAATCTCTGCATTAAACTTTCCTTCCTCTGGGTTATAGTTAATATTTATCTACACCTACTCCATATGTGTTCTTTCCGCCAGTAGCACTTTCTTTCATGCAATTGGAAAAGCAATCAACATTTGCTAAATAGTGAGTATTGTTTGGGATAACTGAGAACATACTCCAAGGTGCATAAAGATGGCTGTCAGAAAGGAGTGGAGGAAAAGGTAGGCAAATTCAATATACATGAATTAGAAAAACGAGTTTGGCGGAATTGATGTAGAGGGCCATGGTGCAGGAAATAGTTTCGGGCCCCTCAATAGCGCAAGGGTGGCCAAAAGGAGGGTCCCTATCTGTCATATAACTCACATAATGCAAGGCCAGCTAAAAACAATAATTTACCCATCCTTGCAGGGTTGCATTTGTGAGCAGTGTTTGTGCATTTGAATGTAAGCAAGTTTTTTTTTTTTTTTTTTTATATAGAGTATGTGTGTACATGTAGGTGTGTATTCGTATTGACTACTGCCATTGGAATCCAGTGGTTTACTTGTATATAGAGTTTGCATTTGAATCCAGGGGTGTGTTTTGTATGTAGTGTTAACTTTTAAATGCAGGTGTGCTTTTGTGTGTAGTATTGGTATTGAAACGAAGGGGTGTGTTTATATATATCATTTTGGCGTTTAACGTGCAGGAATATGTTTGCATGTAGTGTTGGTGTTTGCTGGAATGTATGCACATACATATACACACACACAGATACACAGACACATACATATATATTCAGATACACAATGACACTGCACACAGAAAAAACACAGTCTACAGTGTATTTTCTACTAATGTATTCCCCTTTACTATTGATGTACTGTACTGATTTTCTGTATTATTTACTTATTTTGAGTTCTCTGTCCATCCGCAATTCATATTAATATTATATTTATATATATATATTTTTATATATTTTTTTTTTTTTACACATTTCATATTGGAACATTGTTTAATTGCTAGGAAGTTCTTTATAAACTATAATAAACCTTTTGAGCTCGTAGAATAGAGGGACAAAAGTATATGGATCTTGAAGGCAAACTGTCTCTCTTAAAGAAGAAAGCTTGTAATATAATGTTTCTTGACGTAAATTAGAAAAAGCATTTAGAAACCCATTATATCAATTCATGTTTTTGTTTTTTGTTTTCTTGGAGAAAATGTGGTAGAAGAGATTGCATTTTTCCCTCATATATAAGAACTTCTAGACTAGCCATACCTTGTGCTGCTCTTACTATACATTTTTTTTTTTTTTTTTTAAATCAAAGCCATTAATTATTTTCACCTCTGAGTGCCCCAGCCATACAGAACACAGGCTGGTACTAACAGCCTGTGTGCAATGGACAGTTATATATTTCGTTAGGAATGTGCGGTTTAGCACAGAGGAATTTGTGTTTGATCCATTGGTCTCCATATGTAGTTTGCAACACTTTCCCTCCTCCACTTCTCTGAAACCTTTAGCTGGTGTTATTTAATAAAAGTACCATGAGACAGATTTCAATAAGTCATAAAAAACTGTGATGAAATTTAATTGATTGGGGAAAAGTTCAGCAATGCTAAAATGTTGGTGGAATAATTATCTGTATTAAGTGCCAACATATTATGCAGTATTGTGACCTGTGTGTCAAGGGCATAACTATAACCTAGAGGGCACTGGTGCAAGAATTGTTAAACGGCCCTCTTCTCATCCCACGTAATGAGTGGGGTTGGTTGAGCTGGGTGATTGGCAACATGTAATAAGTGTGTGTGTGTGTGTGTGTGTGTGTGTGTATGTTTGTGTATGTTTGACTGATGTTGGGGTTTGGCTGAGTGAGATATGGTGGGAGGGTTGTGGGAAGGTGAACGGGAAGCTTCCCCTATTATTTCCTAATAATTTAATAATACAATTTTTAAAAAAGGTTTAATTAACGCCTTACTGCCTTCCTTTTTGTAGGGAGGGAGTAAAATTCATTAATTTCTGGTGGTCCACCTTGCGTTCCCATAGTATCCTTTGTAATTCAATGGGGAACCATGTGGACTGCTTCTCTATCTTGTGCAGACCATAGTAAAAGCTCTTTCAGCAGCGATTTCCATGGCAACACTTATTTACAGAGTTTTAGGACCAGCCAGAAGTGCAGCTCACACGTTCCTTTGAAGGATTTGACTGCTATTTAGTACATTCTCGAATAACCAATGTATTAAATAGCACAGGCAAAACTACAGAGTGCGGGAGGCCCACCCCTGGCCTGTCCTTCCCCATCACCCGGGTATTCTGCCTGGGGATAATCCTGAGTGAGAGCCACCTGACAGAACTGGGACCTGTATGGAGCCAACAGTGAAAGACCGGCCCATTGGATTTTGTAATAAACAAAGGCCGGGACCCTCTCCAATGTGTGGGCTTTCTTGTGGGACAGGTTCCCACAATCAAAAAGCAGGATCCAGTAGGCTATCTAACTGGGCCAGAACCTTCTGCAGACGACGACCTCCTTGCAGCACCAGGAGGTTAGACATTGATAGTCCTGAGGTAATAGCCTCCTGTTGAGAACATGACTTTTGTGTGAATTTATTAAAAAAAAAATAATAAAAAATAAAAATGTAAAACTAAAATGTCAAAAAAATTGACCAACCCATGTACTGCAAATGATATACATAATATAAATGTTATGTACCGGTACCTATTTTGCAGTACACTTTTACACCATTTTCTTCTGTAAACACTGAAGGGTCAACTTGGCCTTGTGCTTAGGGTCATTGCCATGCTGGAAAGTCCAAGAGCGTCCCATGTGCAGCCCTCATGCCTCAGAATGCAAATTGTCTGCCAGTATTTTCTGATAAATTCAGCATGTTATCTTGCCATCAATTTTCCCCATGCCTTTAGATCTCACCCCTCCTCCCCCCAAATAACAGCAGTGAGCCATCACTATGCTTCACAGTGGGGATGATATTCTTTTCACTATAGGCCTTGTTGACCCTACTCGAAACATAGTACTTATGGTTGTAACCATAAAGCTCTATTTTGTTCTCGTCACTCCTAATTACAATGTGCCAGAAGCTGTGAGGCATGTCAAGCTGTTGTTGGGCATATTGAACCTGTGCTTTTTTGTGGCATTGGCGCAGTAAAGACGTCTATCTGGCAATTTGACCATGCAGCTCATTTTTGTTCAAGTATCGTCGTATTGTGCTCATTGAAACAACCACACCGTATTTTTTCCACAGCAGCCTGTATTTCTCCTGAGGTTACCTGTGGGTTTTTTTGTATCTCAAAAAATTATTCTGGCAGTTGTGGCTGAAGTCTTTCTTAGTCTACCTGACCTTGGCTTGGTATCAAGAGATCCCCCAATTTTTCACTTCTTTATGATTGAACAGTACTGACTGGCATTTTCAAAGCTTTGGATATCTTTTCATTTACTTTGCCATCTTAAAGGGACACTATAGTCACCAGAACAACTACAGCATATTGAATTTGTTCTGGTGAGTAGAATCATTACCTTCAGGCTTTTTGCTGTTAACACTGTCTTTTCTGAGAAAATGCAGTGTTTACCTTACAGCCTAGTGATAACTTCACTGGCCACTCCTCAGATGGCTGTTAGAGATCCTTCCTGGGTCATGGCTGCCTAAAATGCATCCAAACATTCAGTATCTCCTCCCTCTGCATGCAGACACTGAAGTTTCCTCATAGAGATTCATTGATTCAATTCATCAATATGAGGATATTCTGATTGGCCAGGGCTGTGTTTGAATCATCCTGGCTGTCCCCCTGATCTGCCTCTTTGTCAGTCTCAGCCAATCCTATGGGGAAGTACGGTGATTGGATCAGGCCACCACTTCTAATGATGTCAGCACACTGCTTGTTTTTCTGAGTCTAACAGCATGCAGAGTTACAGCTTTAGGCTTGAATATAGCAAGAGTTTGCTATATTTATGGAGGCATGAGGGGCCCAGGGGGGTAGATGGTGGTTTTAACACTATAGGGTCAGGAATACATGTCTGTATTCCTGACCCTATAGTGATCCTTTAATAAAGTTCCATTACCTTGTTCCGCAGGTCTTTTGACAGTTCTTTTCTGCTCCCCATGGCTCAGTATCTAACCTGCTCAGTGCAACCACGTGAGAGCTAACAAACTCTTTGACTATTTATACACTGACATTAATTGCAATTTAAAAAGCCACAGATTTGTGAAATTATTATTATTATTATTATGGTATTTATAGAGCGCCGTCAAATTCCGCAGCGCTTGACAATAGGTGGACGAACAGACATGTAGTTGTAACCAGACAAGTTGGACACACAGGAACAGAGGGGTTGAGGGCCCTGCTCAATGAGCTTACATGCTAGAGGGAGTGGGGTAAAATGACACAAAAAGGTAAGGATAGTATTAGACTAGTGACAGTTGCAGAAGAGGAATCAGTCAGGAGCTATTAACAGTTTAATTGATATGCTTTTATGAAGAAGTGGGTTTTTAACGATTTTTTTTTGAAGGAGTGGAGACGAGGTGAGCATCTAACGGAGGAGGGAAGCGAGTTCCACAGGAACGGTGCAGCCCTCGAGAAATCTTGAAGGCGAGCATCAGAGGTGGGAGTACGAACAGAAGATAGACGTAAGTCTTCAGCAGATTGTAAGGGCCTAGACCTAACATACTTGTGTATAAGGGAGGATAGATAGGTGGGAGCAGCATTATGTGGAGATTTGAAAGCAAGAACCAGAATTTTAAATTGAGCTCTATATTTTATAGGAAGCCAATGTAGGGACTGACAGAAGGGTGAGGCATGGGAGGTGCGGGCGGACAGGAAGATGAGCCTCGCCGCCGCATTCATTATGGACTGTAACGGCGCAAGTTGGAATAAACCCTTAATTGCCATTTTAACCTGTGTGTGTGTGTGTGTGTGTGTGTGTAAAAAGGCCAAACATTTAAGGGTATGTAAACTTTTGATCAGAGCCATTTGGGTGATTTATGTTAACATTATGATTTAAAAAGGAGCCGGACAACTATGTGATAATAAATGGCTTCAAATGATCACTATTGTTCAATAAAATAATTTTCAAAATCAATGCCAAAATTTCACAATTTCTGCCAGGTTATGCAAACGTTTGAGCACAACTATATATTCTATATGTATTAAAGAATATATAAATATAATTTTTAAAAAAAAAAAAAAACATTTTTACTGCTACTCCTTTTTTTCCCCCTATTGGTTACTTCTCACTTGATTTTTGAATAAAATCAGCATTTAGTGGCTCTCCCCTAACTTATTTTTTTTTCTTTATCAATCTTTATATTTTTTGATCAATCATCATTTTTTGGAGCCAAAGACAGAACTTTGTATTCCGAAACAAACTAATTGGTTCATCCATTGTGCATTTTGTTTCATGATTCATCTAAATAGCATTTTGGAGAGCGGGATTTTGGAAAAATCACCCAAAATTCAGATTAGTTTGAAACCGAAAAAAGTATAGCATGCATACACAGACTATCGCATGCATACCATCTGTTACTATTGGTGAGATATTTGCTTTAAGAGTTTGCGCCACATGCGGGAATTTGGGGAACAAAACAAAACTAATGTTATTTTGCCATCTAGTGGTGACAGCATTTTACTGCGATAGACAAGTGTACAATAGTTCCAGCTAAGACTACAGAATTCATTAGATTTATTGGATGTACATTTATGCCGTCTGTTCTACAGTATCAAAATTATTCCAAAATGGTTCGTTTGATACATTTCTGCCACGGTGAAATAGGATGTAAATGTTATGTCCTAGACCAAGGGTAGGCAACCTTTTAGCAGCACTGTGCCGATATAGGATTGTGATGTCCCATAGTGTGCAGATCCTATATTTTTTTTTTTAATTGACGTGTGTATGTTGCCGTATTCTGCTTGTGTTATTTATACTGTAATTGCTTTGTATCATTGTATTTGTGTGTATATGAGCTATTAGATTGAATATGTTCATTAGTAGTTTATGGTATCGTGTATGATACATATAAATGTGGGCTGTGTATAACGGCTGCTTGTGGAATTGTGTGTGGATATGTCACATTCTGTGTTTGGTAGTGTGTGTGGGCTGTTTTGGGTATTGCATGTGAGAGGCTGCATGTGGGATTGTTGTGTGCATGTATGTGGATTGTTTAGCGGGTTATGTTTGTGTGGATTGTGTGTATGTTCGTATGTGGGCTGTTCTTATTATTTGTATGAGGGGAGGGTTATTCTGCATTTGTGTATATCTAGCAGTGTGGGTGGCTTCCCTGGGTTCCAGTGGGGACCAGGCTGGCCAGGTACAGGTCAAGGACAGGAGCAGTAACAGCAGCTGCAGGCTGCTCTACTATAGTGTGGATTCCCATTCACAAGTGCTTGAACGAAGTGATCTGAGATCACTTCCTCTATGTGCTGCAATGCATAAATTGAGGATTGTCCCTCACCACCTTTTCGTATTATCAGATATCTGAAGTTTCACTGGGACTTCTGATAGGCCAGAGCCTGTTTGGCTCTAGCAGCCTTGAGTGCCGTGCAAAGACACCTTGAGTGCCGTAGGTTGCCTACCCCTGTCCTAGACAGTGATACTCTAGGAACAATAAATGATGTTGCGACATTATATCTGTCCTCCAGACATCAGTACATGGTGTGTGAGAAGGCTGTGCAAGCAGTACATAGTAGTCCCTTGGTGCCTGCTCTGTATCATATTGCCAGAGTAGACACTTGCTGCAAGGTGCTGCTGATACAAGTATCACCCATATCCCCTTCGCTACGTTCTGCATACACTCTGCAAACTGTTTGTAATACATATGAACACATACACACTGCATAATCCATATACACACACAAAACTATCCATATAACCATGCACACATACTTTTACCTGGCCACAGGTGAAAGTCAGGGAGGGGGGCATTACATTCCCTGGTGGTCCAGTGTCATTGTGCAGAGGATGGCTGGGCTAAAAGCTTTTTTTACATGATTATTATATTTAATAAATAATTTAATAAATAATTTTAACTGTGTTCCCCCCTCCCTGCCTTTTACCTGTGGTCAGGTAGGGGCACATTACACTCCATGGTGGCCCAGTGGCTTTGTGCAGGCTGCCAACGGGTTTCACATTGTAGAGCGGATGGCTGCCCAGGACATGCTATCTTATGTTTCTGGCAGGTCCTTTCTGCAACTCTTGCGAGCTTGGTATGCCACGCGGAACATTGCTGTGGTAAACCACTGAAAATACTGAATATTGGCCGATAATAATGGTCAAACCATTAATCAGGGGGTGTGTATATATTGTGTGTGTGTGTGTGTGTGTGTGTGTGTGTGTGTGTGTGTGTGTGTATATATATATATATATATATATATCTCTATATATATATATATCCTACTACTATACTATCCTACTCACAACAGGTGATGCCCCGTCAAAATACTGGATATATATATATCCTACTACTATACTATCCTACTCACAACAGGTGATGCCCCATCAAAATACTGTATTCATATACCCAGCATAACAACGCATCACCATATCAACCACTTTTCAGTCTACAAGGTTCTGTACTCTCTACCACCACCTTTATGACACACGTCAGGTCCTTACTTTCTCAGCTGGGCCTCAAATCAGCTAACTATTCGGGCCACTCCTTCTGCATAGGAGCGGCCTCCACAGCATGCAGTGCAAACATCCCAGTTCATGTTATCAAGTCACTGGGGCGCTGGAAATCATCAGCTTACTCTAGATACATACCTAACCCGGTACAAGAAGTAAGAAATGCTTTTCAAAACATGTCTGGTTAAATGTACGTATATTGCTGGTATGTAATAAATTAGATTTTCTATTTTTGCCCTCTTTATTTACAGGCCTACCTCATTGTTGGTTGCGGCACACCACAACCGACTTGCTCTTTTAATACCATCCTACACTTATCAGTGTTTGTTTCTTCTGTACTATCAAGGCCTTTTGGCCTGTAATTGTGGGAGGGGAGTATGACACACCCCTTCCCTACTTAAGGGACACCCCTTACCTGGCTCCATACCGTTCGAGGTCAGCGCTGTATCACCCTCCCACCACTCCTCATTATTAACTCCTTTTTCTTTACATTTCTTCTTGGTGGGCCCTCTTTATTTACAGGCCTACCTCATCGTCGGTTCCGGCACACCACAACCGACTTGCTCTTTTAATACCATCTTTTCTTCTGTACTATCATGAGCCCTTACCACAAATATATATATATAGATATATACATTCACTTCTGTGTGTATAAGAGAATAACGAATAAGTTCGATAATGAACCCTTTAATTTCTCTCATTATACCTCACAGGGACACTAAAGTCACTAAATGAAGTGGTTGTGGTACAGTGGTCCTGTCCTTCTAATCCTGCAGTGTAAAGCATTGCAAGTTTTTCAAAACTGCATTGTTTATATTGCTTGATTAAATCCAGAGGCACTTTTGTCTCACTGACAAGGAAGCCCATTAGAAAGCATTGAAAGCATTAAATACAATGCTTTCCTATGCGGAAGCTTGGATGCATGGGTGGCTCTATCAGGAGCATTTTTATATGACCATCGCGGAGGATCCCATGATGACGTTGTGGGAGGCAGAGAGGTGAGCAGCGGAACACGCAACTAAAACTTTTAATTCATTCATATTTTGGCGAAGGGGAGTGGACTACTATAGACAGGGACAGGGACAATATAGCATTAGCAATACATTTTTGTATTCCAAACACTATAGTGTTCTTTTAATGTCCTCCAATTGTATCAAGCACTGGATTTCATAAAGCTTCTTTGAGAGGGAGATATTAAGAATGTGTCTTCAGGGTGTATTAACATGAATATATTTTGTAATATTGTGTTGTTTCTTTCTTTGAAGGTGTCAACTGTGAGATGGAGATAGATGAATGTGAATCCCACCCCTGTCAAAATGGTGCCATCTGTAAGGACCACATTGGATATTTCTCCTGTGACTGTCCTGCAGGGTACGAGGGTGAGTTGTGCCAACACGACATTGATGAGTGTCAGAGCCAGCCGTGCCAGAATGGAGGGATCTGCGTGGATGCCATTAACAGGTGATTAACTTTCTGCAGATCCAAACTCAGGGCCAGATTTACATGTTAGGTGTGTGTAGGCACAAAATTAAAAATTAAAATAAGTATAATGAATTTATTTACTGGGCATTGCAGGCCTAAAATATGAATTCATATTTGACAACTGCATATGTATAGACTTATGTATGTGTATATTTCTCCTCCGATTGTAATGTATTATGTGAATTGGTGAATATAGTGAGTGTATTCCGCTGTGTAAAAGCAGAGTTAAAGGATCACTATAGGGTCAGGGACACAAACTTGTATTCCTGACCCTACAGTGTTCAAACCACCATCTAGCCTCCCTGGGTCCCTCGTGCCTCCATAAATATTGTAAAAATCTCACTGTATTCAAGCCTGAAGCTGCTGGCTCTGCCCTGTCTGCCTCAGAAAAACAAGCAGTCTGCTGACATCTTCAGAAGTGGTAGCCTGATCCAATCACAATGCTTCCCCATTTGATTGGCTGAGACTGACAAGGAGGAAGATCAGGGGCAGAGCCAGCATGATTCAAACACATCCCTGGCCAATCAGCATCTCCTCAAAGAAATGAATTGAATTAATGAATCTCTATGAGGAAAGCTCAGTGTCTGCATGCAGAGGGAGGAGACACTGAATGTGTGTATGCATTTTAGGCAGCCATGACCCAGGAAGGATCTCTAACAGCAATATGAGGAGTCACCAGTGAAGTTATCACTAGGCTGTAATGTAAACACTGCATTTTCTCTGAAAAGGCAGTGTTAACCTCAAAAAGCCGGAAGGTAATGATTCTACTCACCAGAACAAATTCAATAAGCTGTAGTTGTTCTGGTGACTACAGTGTCCCTTTAAAGGAATACTATAGACATCAAAACATCTTTAGCTTACTGAAGCACATTTAGTGTATATATCCCACTAATCAATTTTCTACCATTTACCAGTTAAATCAGTCTTGTTCCTGTTTAACCCCTTAAGGACACATGACATGTGTGGACATGTCATGATTCCCTTTTATTCCAGAAGTTTGGTCCTTCAGGGGTTAGGCAGTCATACCTACACCCCCTGATTGTGACTCACACAGGCTCAATGAAAAAATTGTTTAATTTTTAATCAGATGTTAACTAGCATTATAAGTTTATGTTCTGCTCTGTAAAATGAACTTTAATCACACACAGGAGACTCCTGCAGTGTCTGGAAGACTATTCGCAGAGCAAGAGATAAGTTCTAAATTAAACAGACTGTGCAATAAAGGAAGTGTAAACATTAGATATGTCTCTTTACACAAAATATTTAGGAAAGCTGTGCAAGGCGCATGCAGGGAGGTGTGACTAGGGCTGCATGACAAAATGGCAGAACATTGAGCAGTGAGACCGCAGGGACAAGATCTATACACCAAAACTGCTTAATTAAGGTAAGTGGTTTGGTGCCTATAGTATCCCGCTTAGCCCTGCAATTGCCTTGCAGGACTAAGACTGCCTCCACACTCTGTCAATCAAACAGCCAATAGAGGCACTGCCTAGATGCTAGCGGTCTCTGAGTCTCCTAAATGACATCCAGCTTCAGTGAAAACATTGAAGCAATGCTTTCCTATATGGAGGGCCTACAGGGCTTGTGACAGATTTATATTCCTAACACTATAGCACCCCTTTAAGGATGGTTCAGGGGGTAGAGTCTGTATAGTCTTTGCTGTGCTGTCAGTGTGCTATTGAGGGAGATTATCTAGGGAAAATATGATGGGCTGCTGACTGGGACTGGTTAACTATTCTTCTTGTGGGTTGGGGAATCTTTCTGATTAAGAGCGGTGCTGCTGGGGTTTCTGTGCTTCTAGAGTTGTGATGGGTTGTGTTCTTCTGACAGTGTGGGGTAGTGCTGTTGGGTGTAGAGAATTCTTCTGGAAAGACTGAGATGAATGGAGAGGTGACATGAACCAGTATAACCTGCAGTATTTTGTAGGGGTGCACCAAAATGATAATTCTGGGCCAAAACCGAAACCGAAAATTCAGCATGCCCTTGGCCAAAAACCGAAACCTAAACCGAAAATGACTTTTCCCCCCAAATGATTTAAAAAAAAAAGTTTTGTTTTTTTTCATATAATTTTTTTAATATTAGACTTTTTAATGAATTTAACCCCTTAAGACCGGAGGGCGTACTATTACGCCCTATTTTAGGCAGCTCTAAACGCCGCCGGGCGTAATAGTATGCCCTCCGGTTTTTGTTTACTTACCGGGTTGCCGGCGATCGCGGTTGGGGGGACTCCCAGGGAGCCCCCCCGCGGCAGATCTTCTCTCCTGCAGCCTCCTCGGCCATGTGAGAGTGAGGTCCTTGCGAGGACCTCACAATCACATGGCCGGGATAGCTGGCTGCTGTATTGCCAGCAGGGGGCTGCCTGTAATGACAGGTAGTCCCCCTGCTGGCTGGAAATAAAATAAATGAAAGTTAAAATAAGTGTAAAAAAAAAAAATACATACTTAGATCATATATATTATATATATATATATATATATAAAATCAAAAGTGAAGGGAGCACACTAGGACTGCTTCTGAGTGGCAAAAAATAGTCTTTACTGTATTATAAAATAATACATGTCCTGTGCAAAATACAGACAATCGACGTTTCGACCCTCCTGGGGTCTTTATCAAGATCACAGTGATATATTGCTATCTATAACAATTTATACATGTAAGTGAAATAAAGCTTACCAATAGGATGATCAGACAGCCGGCGGGCCGAGGTACCCGGAAGTGAGAGACCCACGTGGGAGCGTGCATGTGACGTGCGTGAACGTGCATGTGACCGGGTTGCCAAGCAACCTTAGAAACAAAGCATCCACTTCATTCACACTGAAAGTTAGAGTCAAAGAGATGCAGGCTAATTAGGGAGGATATAGTAACTATACTGATCAAGATAGTATCGATCTGATAGTGAGCTCAATATAGTGAAAGTGAACAAATAAGTGTAAAAAAAAAAAATACATACTTAGATCATATATATTATATATATATATATATATATATATATATATATATATATATATATATACACACATATACATACACACACATACACCGTCTAGGTGTATTTTACTATTAATATATATATAATTATATATATATATATATATATATATATATATATATATATATATTAATATCAAATTACACGTAGACTGATACTGATTAAATATATATATAATTATTGTTATATATATATATATCTAATATAAAAAATAAATATGTAAATACGTTAAAAAGTAAAATTAAAAAAATAATTAAAAATAAATAATTAAAAAATATATAGATTATGTTATTTCGTTCTGTATTGTGATATTAATATATATATTTATATCAAAATACATGTAGAACGAAATAATATATATATCTATATACATAAATATATACGTATATATTACTATATATATACCTATATATAAATAAAAATATTTTAAAAAAATTATATATACACATGTATATACACATACACATACGTGTATATATATATATATATATATATATATATATATATATATATATATATATATATATATATATATATATTAATTCTACATATATATTTGTCATATTTTTGCATAATTAGGTATCTTAATTAATTACAATTAGCGGGACCTGCCTGACAATCCATGCCGAAAGTAAAGGGAATTTAATTTGCTAGCACTATATTTAACCCTATAACTTTCCAAGACACCATAAAACCCGTACATGGGGGGTACTGTTCTACTCGGGAGACTTTGCTGAACACAAATATTACAAAGTAAAATGTATTACAACGATGATATCGCCAGTAAAAGTGAAGTTTTTTTGCATTTTTCACACACAAACAGCACTTACACGGACGATATTATTGCTACGATACTTTTTACTGTTTTGAAACACAAATATTTGTGTTCAGCGAAGTCTCCCGAGTACAACAGTACTCCTCATGCACAGGTTTTATGGTGTTTTCAAAAGTTACAGCATCAAATATAAGGCTTGTTTCATTTTTTTCACATTAAAATTCGCCAGATTGGTTAGGTTGCCTTTGAGACCCATGGTAGCCCAAGAATGAAAATTACCCCTATGATGGCATACCATTTGCAAAAGAAGACAACCCAAGGTATTGCAAACGGGGTATGTCCAGTCTTTTTTAGTAGCCACTTAGTCACAAACACTGGCCAAAATTGGCGTTTTTTGCATTTTTCACACACAAACAAATACTAACGCTAACTTTGGCCAGTGTTTGTGACCAAATGGCTACTAAAAAAGACTGGACATACCCCATTTGCAATACCTTGGGTTGTCTACTATTCCAAATGGTATGCCATTATGGGTGTAAATTTAATTCCTGGGCTACTATACAGTCTCAAAGGCAACATAACCAATCTGTCGAATTTCAATTTCAAATGTAACATGCTATATATGACCCTGTAACTTCCCAAAACGCCATAAAACCTGTACATAGGGGGTACTGTTTTACACGTGAAACTTTGCTTAATACAAATATGTGTATTTTATTGCAGTATAAGCAAACAGTATTATGACATTGACCGTTAAAATGTCATGTAGAACTAAAAAAAATTAAAAAAAATATTTTCTCCCATTTATTTTCATATTCAATTATGTTTCACAGCTTAATATTTGATATTAAATGAAATCCCTGTTTCCCCTGAATAAAATGATATATAATAAGGGTGGGTGTATTTACTATGAAAGAGGTGAATTACGGTTGGACAGACATGTAGCGCAAATGCCAGTTTTTGTTTACATTTTGTTTTGTTCGCAACATGTACATTTGGCTCCGTCCTTAAGGGGTTAATTAATCTAATATGAAAAACTTCCCTTCTCTTTTAGTGGTTCCCCCCTGCTTAATGTTCCTCTCTTCCCCCTCTAGTGTTTATCTCCCCTCCCTCTTTAGTGTTCTTTCCCCCCTCCTCTCCAGTTCCATAGTGTTCTTTTCTCCCCTTCCCTGTCCCAGTGTTTTTCCCCCCATCCCATAGTGTTCTCCCCCCTCTTCTG